CTGTCCGCCCATTTGACGGATGGAAACTCAGGTTCGGAGGAGCTGGGGTCTCTCGGGCCAGGGAACAAGATGGGGCCGCATTTGGTGGGAAGCTGGACGGAGATGCCCCCAGGAGGGAGCCCGGGAATGGAAAGGGGCTGCTGTGGGTGGTGAAGGAAGGGGACCAGGGTCTTGACTGCTGCGTGACCTCAGGCCCGGCCTTTCCCTCTGGCCTCCCTTTTATTGGGCTAACGATGTACCTTGGCCCTCTGGCCTTGTCCTCCAGACAAGGAGGTGCTTTACCCCTCTGTCTTGGGCCAGTCTCTCTTCCCTTCTTGGAAAATCAGGCTTAATTCCTGTCCCTCAAAGTCATGGTGAAACAAAACGAGATCCAAAAGATAAGAAAGTGCCTTGGGAACTCCTAGAGTGTCTTTATGGACAAAGTGTAGGCCCAGCAGGACGCACGGCAGGGAGCTGAGCCGAGCCCCTTTAATGTGCCGGGAGGAGCAGTGCTGCCCTTTGTTCCTCCTCAGCATCCTTGCCTCAGAGGTGCTGCTCCTCTCCCTGGGTGCAGAGGGGAACCAGCGATTCCCAGCCGATCTCGATTCTCGGTGGCCAAGTGCTCACTTCAACATGGCCCCGTGGTGGCTGCTTCCCTGGTCTTTGGAATCCACTTCTGGGAGGCACCAACTGCCTTCCCAGACTGCACTCCTGTTCCAGGGTCAGTGGCCTTGAAGCCAGGGGCTGGCCCGATGTCTCCAGGTTCTCAGACCCTGGCACACAGGTGTCCAGTGAATGGGTGCTTTTTGCACACACCTGCTGTGTGCCTCTTCCACACTTAACTAGAACGTGTGGAGCAGCACACAGAGCTTCTGGAGTTTGGAAAAGACCTGCACACCGGGGAGGGAGAGGAACCCCCAGATGTCAGTGACTGCCACAGCCACAGAGGCCAGTCTGGTGACCCCTCAGCAGACAGGCTTCCTGCCATCCGCTATCAGGAGGGGACAGTGCAGTGGGCGCAGGTTAGGAGACAGACTGGTCAGGTAGATGGAGGGGGAGATTCGGGCTGTGCTTCCCTGGCTGGCACTTTAGTGCTGGTGTCTATGGGGACAGCCACTGGGCAGTACTTTGCTATATTGTAAATGGCCACACACTTGTGATTACGGCCCATCAGCTGCCTTTCCAGGTCTTTATCTTGCACAGCAAAGAGTACACAGAGGTGAGGTTTACAGACAGTAGAGCTGTTTCCAACTGCGATCAACAGCACCAGAACGATAACCAAGGTGGTGCCCGCCTGCAGGAGGCGAAGGGAGTCTTGCAAGGGACATTTATTCTTATCTTGCTTTTGTTAAAAAGGAGGAAAGGATTCCTCACCACCACCTTGCCCTGCTTCACCGTCCACTATCTGATGGCACAGCCACCTCCCAGGGGCGGCGTGGAGAGCGTGTGGGGCCACGACAAAGCTGGCATCAAGCTCAGGCCTGCATGTGCACGTGGTTTCTCAGCAGGACGTGTCAGGCATCGCCTTGACTCTGGCCTGGGGCCTCCTGGAATTGGGCTGGCAGCTGGACTTCTTAATGGCTCTGCTTCAAGATGCCGAATCTCTCTTTTTGTCCCGGAGCAGCACCGAGAGTTAAAGAGAATCACCCCGTATCACAGAGGAGAACACTGAGGCCCAGAAAGGGAAAGGAGTTTTCACGATCACACAGCATTTGTCAGTGGTGGAGTTAAGACTTGAACCAGGCCTGTCTGAGGGGGAAGGCAGCTCCTGAGTTCCAAATGTGTGGGGAAAGGGATGTGGGAAGAGCCGCGACCTTTGTCCGGACAGTGCCTGCTCTCTGGGGCCTCTGAGGTGGAAGAACTGTCCCACCTGCTGTCCTCCACCCAATTATTTCCCGGCCACTGGCCAACATGAAGTTATTGCTGCTTCTTGTTCTTATTGCTATGGTAGGGTTCAAAGTTCGTGGCCACCCACGCACTGCCCCACCTCTGCACAATAGCTTGAGGAAATCCTCTAGAATAACTCCGGGCCAGAGGTCTAGTTCCTTGTCTTCCCCAAAGCTCCCTGGCATTACCCAGGCCTCAGTTTCCTTATCTATCCAATGGGGATGATTGCTTTCCAGGCTTGCTGGATTTCTGAGGTGTTGATGGTTTAAGAGACATGAAAGTGGACTCACTCAGAGAAACACACCAGAGAAACACAAGACAAATTCCCTCTTTTCCTGGAATGTTTAATGAGCGGATGTGGCACAGCGTGCTTCACCTGGTGTGCTGGGTCTTTCCAGGGCACAGCTTTCCCTGCTCCCCTGCTCTGCTCAGGCGCCCAGTCCCTGTGCAATGCCTCCCCACTTTAAAAAGGCTCCCACATCCTCATTGTAGGAAGGGTCGCTCCATGTGGATGTGGCTGTCACATGCATGCACAGAGTTGTTTTCTCTATGGACGCACATGGACTAAAAGCTAAAACCAACTGGCTGTGCTTCTCTGAGAGAAGAGGAGGGGTTAAAGGTGTTTTAGCCACGGCCCAAAGCCTTCGTTTTTAGTTTAGAATTACAAATTTTGGATGAGAGCCATAGGGATATTTGTTGCATTTTCTTTTGTATTTCTAAAAAAAAAAAAAAAAAAAAAGCTCATTGTAGAAAACCTGGGGGAAAACACAGGAAAAGCATAAGGAAGAAATCAGAACTACCCAAAATCCCACATCCTTTCACGGATAAGCACCACTCATATGCGGGAGGTGTGTGTGTGTTTTCTAGGTGCACTTCGTTTTCCTTCTCCAAGATTTCTGCTACATGGCTCTACTCTGTGACTCCTCCTTATCGCCTTCATCCTCACTGTCCCTGTCACCTTTCTTCACCCATCCAGGACTTGCTTTTTCATCCTAATATCCCGCTTATCCGCGACTTCCTGATCTCTTGGGCCGCCTGCTGCCCCTTCGGGGCCATGCCCCAGGCCGAGCGCGCAACAGAGGTCTCTCCCGCAGCCTTGTCCATTGGCCCCTTCCAGTCTTCCTCCTTTTGGTGGCTTCTGGCCTTGGCATCACCACACTTTAACCAAGGCTGGTGGGTCTGAAGTCCAGCTCATTTGTCCCAGTGCGACGGGCTGTGTAGGGGGTCTTGGACTTGGGTCGGGACGGTGGCTGCAGATCTGGAGAGCTGAGGGGAGAAGTGAGGCATGGAATGCACATTAAAATTGGAAAAGCACCCTTCCAAGCCCTCTCTCCTTACTCCTCCAGCTCCACAAGACCCCTAAGCCCCACTCTATCCCTCCTGTTGCTTTCATCAGTTTCTCCCTCAGCCTACAACACACCCAAGACTGGAATCCTGAACGGTATGACCTTCCCTGGCCTGTTTGCATTTCTAGCTACTGCTTTTTTTTTTCCTTTCTTTCTTTCTTTTCTTTTTTTTGGTACTGGGGATCGAACTCAGGACCTTGTGCTTGCCAGGCGGGCGGTGGCACCGCTGAGCTAAATCCCCAGCCTGCTACTGCTTTTTCATCTCCTGCCCCATCCAAATTTCCAAAATGAATTTATCTGTGTTCACCTTCCCAGCTCCCACTTCTTCCACAGTCCACAGCAATGTGGCTGCATCCTCCGCTGGAAGAGCCCTTGCCCAGATCTCCAGTGACTTCTACCTTTGCTGAACCCAGGGGCAGTTTGGTCCCTGACTCACTGCACCGGCCACACCTCTGGGCTTCCACAGCCCATCTCTCCCGGGCTCCCCCACCCCCATTTTCTCCCATGTGGACTTTTTCTTATCAGTTCAACCTTTGAGTATTATTTTCTCCACGTCCTTTCTGCTTCCTTTATTGCTGGTTCTTGCAATTCCCTGTTGATTTTCAGCTCACCCACTCTGGGCCAGGCAGCCCCCCCAGTACCACTGCAGCACCTAATTCCCTGTCTTCCCTTTGGCGACCCATGTGTGCCTCGAACAGGAACTGAGCGACTGATGGACATCTTCCCCTGCCCTCTATTCTGTCTCAGTCAGTGGCACAATTTGCGAGCCAAGCCAAAAGCCTGGGAGTCATTCTTTATGCTTCCCTCTCCTTCCACGAAGTCGGCTCCCAAGTCCTGCCAGTCTGTAGCACGGCCATTTCGGTAACAAGGCCCTTCCTCTCCGTCTCTTTATCGCTGGGCTCATTCAGGTAGCACAGCTTGGCCTCCAATCACTTTCTACACCGCTGAGTAATCATTCTACATAGAAATCAAATCCCATCATATTCTCCTGCTTAAAGCCAGTAGCGTACAGAACATTAAAGAGGATTTAGAGAAATGGAGAGACAGTGAAGGTTCATGGATTGGAAGACTTAATACTGTTAGGATGGCCAGTCTTCTTAGACTAATCTACAGATTCAAGATAATCTCTGTCAAATTCAAGCCACACACACACACACACATATGCACACGCGCGCATGCACACGTGCATGTGTGTGTGTTTTGCAAAAATTGATAAACTGAGCAGGACATTGTAGTACATGCCTGTAGTCCTTGCTACTCAGGAGGCTGAGGCATGAAGATCATGAGTTTGAGGCCAACCTGGGCTACTTGGCTGGACCCTAACTCAAAAATAAAATAAAAAGGGCTGGGTGTATAGCCTGCTGGTACAGCAGTTGAGTGCTGGATTCCTAGCAGTGGGAGAGGAAGGAAGAAAGAAAGAAGACAGACAGAAAGAAAGAAAGAAAAGGAAAACTTGATAAACTGATTCTAAAATTCATATGGAACAGAGCATGGTGGTGCACTGTAGTTCCAGTTTCAGGAGGCTGAGGCAGGAGGATCTTCACAAATTTGAGGCCAGCCTAGGCTACATAGTGAGTTCAACGCCAGCCTGAACTACATAGTGAGACCTTGTCTAAAAACACAAACAAAAAAGATGAATAAAATAAAATAAAATAAAATTCATATGGAAATGCAAAAAATCCAGTGTAATCAAAACAATTTTGGAAAAAAAATCTGAAAGACCAAACCTCCCAATTTATACACAATTACTCAGTGAGCTGGGTGTGATGACACATATCCATAATTCCACCACTCTGAGAGACTAAGGCAGAAGAATCACAAGTTTGAGCCCAGTTTGGGAAATTTACCAACTTAGGAAACCCTGTCTCAAAAAAGCGGGGGGGCTCTCAGTGTAGAAGCCCTGGGTTCAGTCCCCAGGGCCATATACTCAAAGTAACCAAGACATTGTACCTAAAGATAACATGTAGATCAATGGTAGAATTAGAAGTCCAAAAATAAAGAAACAAGAAATGAATAAGAAAATTTAAAATATATGTATATAGCCAATAGATTTTCATTGAGTTTACTGGTACTTTTTAGGTACACAGTACAGTTACATTCATCATTGGCATCTTGTACCTTTACATGACAGATCTTGGTTCTCATTTTTTCCCCATACCCCTGCCCTCCCTTTACCCCCTCCACCCTCCCACTTACAAAGACTTTGTTTCCATTTTTTCCTTTACTCATATTTTTTCTTTTCCCTTATTTCCTTCCCCTACCCTTCCCCTACACCTTTAGCCCATTTCCTCCTATTTCACATTATCAGTTATACAATTTGGATCTTATTTACACTTTTAGTTTTTCACACCAGAGAAGCTATTCGGTATTTACACGTGTGTCCTATTTATTTCACTTGAGTATGGCCTCAATATGCATCCATTTTCCTATGAAAGACTCTAGTTTCTCATTCTTTATGGCTGAGTAGTACTCCATTTAATAGAAAAAAACACATCTTCTTTATCCAGTCTCAAATTGATGGGCAATTGGGCTGTTTCCAAGTTTTTGGTATTACAAACTGTGCTGCTATAATAGCCAATAAATTTTCAACAAAGGTGTCAACATGATGCAAGAGAATAGTCTTTTAACAGTGTGTTGGGGACAACTGGATATCCACATGTAAAAGGACCCTTACCCTGTACCATATACAACAAGGTGTTTTTTGGTTTGGTTTTGTTTTTCAGAATGAGTGATCGAACTCAGGACCTTGTTTGCCAGGCAGTCATGGCGCCACTGAGCTACATCCCTGGCTCAAGGCGTTTTTATTTTTATATTTATTTTAAAAAGCTTAAGGGCTGGGTGTGGCAGCACATACCTGTAATCTCAGCACTCAGAAGGCTGAGGCAGGAGGATCGCTATGAGTTCAAGACCAGCCTGGGCTACATAGTGAGTTCCAGATCAGTCTCAACTACATAGTGAGACCCTGTCTCAAAAAACCAAAAAAAAAAAAAAAAAACAAAAAAAACCCCCCCAAAAAAAAAAAAAAAAAAAAAAAAAAAAAAAACCAAAAAAACCCCCCAAAAAACCCCAAAAAACAAAAAACAAAAAACACCTTAAAAATATTTTTTTTTTGTGAGACAAGATCTTACTAAATTGCTAACTTGCCCAGACAACTTGAACTTGTGATCCTCCTGCCTCAGCCTCCCAGAGTGCTAAGATTACAGGCATGCACCACCATGCCTAGCTGTTGGGCATTTTTTTTTTTTTTTTTTGGTACTGGGGATCGAACTCAGGACCTTGCGCTTATGAGGCAGGTGGCAGAACCACTGAGTCAAATCTGCAGCCCTAGTGGTGGGCCTTTGTTAAACTGGATTTTCATGGGGTTGGACACATGGCTCTTCATTCCCTTTTCCCCCAACATATCCGAGTGGTCTCCATCTTGGATCTTGGCTCTTCCTGTTCGCTCTGTTGGCAGCACTTCCTCCCCAGTGTTCTGTGAAGTCCTTTCCATCACAGGTGCTAAATCAGTGGTGGTCAGCAGAGCTTTCTGATGCTGGAGATATTTGTTCCATATCTGCTCTGTCCAGTGTGCACAGTCACATACGGATATCGAGAACTTGAAATGTAGCTAGGGTGACTCAGACATGGATTCATTTAATTTAACTAATTAAAATTAAGTTTTAAATAGGCACAGGAGCAGAGTGGATTCTGTACCGAGCAATGAAAGTAAATTAATCCCAATCCACTATTTAATTTCCTGGTTTTGTATTCTTCAGGGCCCTTTTCTGCAGGTGAAATAATCGTGTTCCTTTGCTAATTTTCTGCTCCTGTCCAAATTTAAGAGGCCTTAAGAAAGAAGCTTGTGGGGGCCAGGAATTTAGCTCAGCGGTTCGGTGGCCTGCCTTGCAAGCGCAAGGACCCGAGTTCAATCCCCGGTACCAAAAACAAACAAAAAAAACAAAACAAAAAAAAAAGAAAGCAGCTTGTGTACAGTTTATCACTCGGTGCTCGGCCTCGCTAACTCCAGGGTGCGGCGGGTGAGGTGAGTGTGAGGTAAGGACGAAGAAAGCTTTCCCTCAGCTGACCTCAGTGTGCACCCCCTGCAGGTATCCATTGCAGAGGGTGTGTGAAGTCGAAACTTATGCTCTTTTCTTCTCAAAATTATTATTATTATCATTATATAGGTAAAGTTTTTATTGTTGACTGCTTCTTTTTTGGGGGAGGGGGCTTTTTTTTGAGACAGGGTCTCACTATGTATTGAGACTGACCTGGAACTCACTATGTAGCCCAGGCTGGTCTCGAACTCACAGGGATCCTCCTGCCTCAGCCTCCCGAGTGCTGGGATTACAGGCGTGCGCCACCATGCCCGGCTCTCACAATTATTTTTACGGTAACACTAAGATCTTATTTTGTCTCTTTGATGGTGTGCAGACGATGGTGGGTAGAGTTACTGGCCACCTGGATGACAGAGCAAGGCAGCACCACCAAATTACACCAATAGCTGTTTTCTTCCCTGCCATGAACTCATCATAATAAAATAATTATGGCAGTTTTATTTATGAGCGACTTGATAAAGCAGCGAAAAAGTAAGCAAATCTCTACCCTTCACTGTATCTGTTTTCTTTCTTTTTTTTCTTTCCAAGTTAATAATTTTTTTTTCAGCTTTAATTGAGCTTATTGGTACATTTTAGGGATACAGTACAGTTACATTCATTGTTGGGATCTTGTACCTCTACATGACAAGTCTTGATTCTCATTTTTTCCCCTTACCTCTGCCCTCCCTTCACCCCTGTTTTCTTTCTTTTTAAGATGGGGTCTTCTACTCTGTTGGCCATGTTGGCCTCAAACTGCTGGTTTAAGCAGTCCTCCTGCCTGGGGCTCCCGAGTAACTTGCTGCACTATATAGGCTGTCTCTTTTAAGTGTTTTTCCTTTTTACATGCACTTTTTTTTTAACGTACCGGGGATCCAACCCAGGTCCTTGACTTACAAGGCAGGTGGCAGAACCTCTAAGCTAAATCCCTGGACTGTTTCTCCTTTTTATTTTTATTATTTTTTTGGTACCTGGGATCGAACTTGGATCCTTGCGCTTGCAAGGCAGGCAGCAGAACCACTGAGCTAAATCCCTGGCCTTCTGTTTCTCCTTTTTAAAAATTTTTATTTTATTTTACCTCATCTCCTGAAGCCCCCTCCCCTTCCTATGTACAAAAGCTTTGTTTCCATTTTGTCCTATTTTCACTTTTTGTCTTGTGCCTTCCTTCCTTCCTTCCTGTCTCCCTCTCTCCTCCCTTGCTCCCCTTCCATTTGGTACCAGTGATCATACTCAGGACCTTATGCTACTGAGCTATAGCCCAGGCCTTTTAAAGCGTTTTCAATAGAAAGAGTCCTGCATACCTAAATGTCAGAAGGCCCAGAGCGGCTGTTTGAGTCGCATACTACACTGCTTTTTTTCATGCAATAAAAAGTTCTTGTTGCCAGGCGTGGTGGCGCACGCCTATGATCCCAGTACTCGGGAGGCTGAGGCAGGAGGCTCGCTGTGAGTTCGAGACCAGCCTGGGCTACATAGTGAGTTCCAGGTCAGTCTCAACTACATAGTGACACCCTGTCTCAAAAAACCAAAAAAAAAAAAAAAAGTTCTTGTTGAAGGAAGGATGGCAAGTCAAATTATGGCTGTACAAATGTGGATATTGTGTAGATATTTTCTCTAAAATGAACAATGTGAGTCTATTGTTTCAAGGGGTTAAAAAAAAAACCTGACAATATTTGCTGCCAGTAATAAAATTTGCAAAAAAAAAAAAGAAAAGAAAGAAAAAATTGGAGCTGCTGAATTGAAATTAGGATTTTGGAAGAAGGAAAAAATGGAAACAAAGCTTTTGTACATAGGAAGGGGAGGAGGTTTGAGAGCAGGGGAGAATGGGAAAAACGGGGCGGGATGTAACAGGTACAGGTGCAGATTCCCTGTGGAGTGCACTATGTATGCCTAAAACGTACCAATAAATGTTGTGCTGTATAAATAAATAAATAAAATTAGGGTCTTGGAAAGTTTCTATCCATTGCAATGACTTTATTGTTTCCCCAACATTCAAAAACTTCTTGGTGCTGGGCGTGGTGGCGCACGCCTGTGATCCCGGCACTCAGGAGGCCGAAGTAGAGGATCGTGGCGAGTTTGAGGCCAGCCTGGACTACATAGTGAGTTCAGAGCCAGCCTGAAGTACAAAGAGGCCTTCTGTCTCAAAAAAACCAAAAAACCAAAAAACCAAAACAAAAAACTCCCCAAAACAAAACCAAAAACCTTTTGATAGGATCAGTGGTGACATCGATGAGTGTTTTTTTTCTGTCGCATCTTCAGAGGTCAGTGTCTAGAATATTTACATAACTCAATGGACCTGTGTTTACCACATTGTTTCTCCGGTGTGAGAAACTGAAAATGGAAATAAGGATCAAAATGTATAATAGATATTGGGAAATAGGAGTAAAATGTTCAGAGGAGAAGAGGAACAAAGGAGGATGGAGGGGGGAAGAAGGGACAAGAAAAAAGAAAAGAAGGAAAAAATGGAAACAAAACTTTTGTAAATTAGGAGGGGAAGAGGGATGAGGGATGGGAAAAAAGAAGCAGCAAGATCTGTCATGTACAGGTACAAGTTCCCTGTGATGAGTGTTAGCGTTATGTTTATCTAAAATGTACCAATAAAGGTTCTGCTTTAAAAAAAAATGAACCAGGCCTGGGGATTTAGCTCAGTGGTTCCGCCACCTGCCTCTGAAGCACAAGGACCCGAGTTCGATCCCCGTACCAAAAATAAATAAATAAATAAACAAATAAATAAATAAATAAACGAACCTGCGTTTGCCAAGTGAACAAAATTATGTGTGGGTAAAAGATGAATTCAGAGAGTAAAATACACCAGTGAGTTAAATTTAGTGAAAAGCTCATTGATACAGTTTTAGATTTCACACTGAAGGAAACTTTTATAATACTTTCATTTCTTAAGTTTTGGAATAATATAAAAGAAGAATATCCACAATTATCTGAAAGGACTTTTAAAATACTCCTCCCTTTTCTAGTTAGGTACCTGCATGAGGCTGAATTTTCTCCATATGCTTCAAACGAAACACGGTATCTAACAGATTGAACGAATGAGCATATATGGGAGTCTAGCTGCTTTTTATATTTTTTATGGTACTGGGGAGCAGAGCCAGGGCCTCAATCATGCTGGGCAAGTGCTCTACCCCTCCTGAGCCCCAACTCCAACCCAGCTGCCTTTCATTAAGTCTGACATGAAAGAGACTTGCAAAAATGTAAAACAATGTTATTTTTCTCATTAATTTATTTGAAGCATGGTTTTTATTTAAATATGTGTTATTTAGATATTTTTAAATTCATAATTTTAATTGCTAACATAGAAAATCAATAATGTAACCCAGATAAACACATAAATAAGATCTCCAATCAATTTTTTTTAGATCTCCGATGATTTTTAAGAGTTTAAAGTATTCTTGGCCTGGAGATTTAGCTCAGTGGTGCTGCTGCCGGCCTTGCAAGCGAAAGGTCCTGAGTTCAATCCCCAGTACCAAAAGAAAAAAGAAAAAAAAGTATTCCTGAGACCAAAAAGTTTAGGAAACACTATTACGGGTAAATATTAATCAGTCCCACATATTAGGTAAATCAGTCTCGAATACATCGGTGGACTGGCGGAGGGAGGGAAGACGATGTTTTGTGATGTATTTCACAGCCTGTGGGTCCAGGGCAACAAGGGTTCTGTGCCTCAGTGGAGTGAGTGAGGCCAGTCTCACTTCTCTGCCATGTTAGAGAACGCGGTGGCTTGGATGTAAAGACTTGGTCCTCAGGGTGGGAGTACTGGGAACTGCTGTGGACACCTTGAAGAAGTAGAGCCAGGGGCTGGCTCAGTGGGCCAGTAACTCAGTGGTGCCTCAGCTGCCTGGCAAGTGCAAGGCCCCGAGTTCAATTCCTGGTACTGAAAAAAAAAAAAAAAAAAAAAAA